AATTTCTATTTATTTATAAATTTTACATTCGAATTTGGACATTACCACAAAAATTTATATTTGAAAATTAGTTAAGTAAAAAAAGTTGATTTGGAACATGCAATTTTGTTTTTCAGGGCTGAGTCAAGACAAATAGTACTTGCAAGGCAGTCAGAAATAATTTCATTTGTTTGTCATGTGACTTTTGTTGGCGGGCCCTTCGAAGATCTCCACAAGTGTTTTTTCTCTTGAAATAATGCTTAAAAACTTGCATGCTCGCTTTCCGTCCTTTGATGCTGTGTCTTCGCAGTTCATTGGACTGCTACTGATACCCAGTGGGTGTGAGAGCAATGGCAAAGAGCAGGCTACAACTACAATGGTATGTTCAGTCTGAAGACGCGTTTTGGTTCCCTTTGCGCAGGACTAGATACGTCATGAGTCACATGATTATTGTGCCACTGGCACGTTCTTATGTGGTCCACGAGAGAGGGAATTGAATGTGAGGTTATCCCCGCTCAGTCTGAAATGAAAGGAAAACAGAATTATCGTATACGAAATGTACAAAATGGTATCAATTTCATTTAGTGCCCTGCCAGTTTCCTTCCACCGCAACGCTCTCTTTTCCTTGTGTCCTGTCTGCTTGGCATTATGGATCTTTGCTTTGGACAACTGGTGTGCCTGTTTTGTTGATGCCCTGGGCACGTGCTTTCCTTGCTTATTGGGTAATCTGTCCCTGGTGCCACCCAGTGACCTTTAAGGCCAGGAAGGCCCTGTAAATTAAGCATCTCCACAGAACTTTCTCTGTCTACATCCCCCTCTAGTTTAAATTGTATATTATAAATTTAACTTTACACCTTATCTCATTTTTGTAAAGGCATCCACCTTCTCGTTTTAGCTGTGTCTTCTCAAGCAACAGTACTTATTGTTTTCTTTACTGAGATATAATTTACCATTTCAAAGTGTCCAATTCAGTAGTTTTTAGTATGTTCACAATGTTATGCCAGCCATCACCACTCTGTAATTCCAGAACATTTTTATCACCCCCAAAACATACCCTGTACCCATTAGCAATCATTCCTCATTCTTCCCTCCCACCAATCCCTACCCATTGCCGTCTAGTTGATTTGGACTCATAGCGACACTATAGGACAGAGTAGAATTACCCCATAGGATTTCCAAGGCTATAAACCTTTATAGAAGCAGACTGCCACATCTTTCTCCCAAAGAGCCATTGGTTGGTCACCAGCCTCTGGAAACAACTAATCTGCTTTCTGTCTCTATGGATTTGCTTATTCTGGACATTTCATATAAATGGAATTCTCTGGTCTCCTGTGTCTGGCTTCTTTCATTTCGCATGTTTTCAAGGTTCAACCACATCGTAGCATATATCAGGGCTTCATTCCTTTTGTTGTTGTCGTTGTTGTTGTTAGGTGCTGTCCAGTGGATTCCGACTCACAGCAAACCCCTGTGAAGAGCAGAACTGCCCCATAAGGTTTTCCTGGCTGTAATCTTTACCAAAGCAGATCACCAGATCTTTCTCCCACGGAGCTGCTGGGTGGATTCGAATCGCCAACCTTTATGGTTAGCAGTCGAGCACTCAATCGTTTGCACCACCAGGGATCCTTTCATTCTTTTAAACGGCTGAATAATATTCAATTGTATGGCTATACCACATTTTATTTATTCTTTCCTCAGTAAATGGCTATTTGGATTGCTTCTACTTTTTGGCTGTTATGAATAATGCTGCTATGAACATTCATGTGTAAGTTTTTGTGTGAACGTGTTCTCCAACTCTCTTGACATACACCTAGGAATGGAACTTCTGGGCCGTATGAGGAGCCCTGAGGAGCCCTAAGGAGCCCTGGTGGTGTAGTGGTTAAAGCGCTCTGCTGCCAACCAAAAGGTTGGTGATTCAAACCCACCAGCCGCTCTGTGGGAGAAAGATGTGGCGGTCTGCTTTCCTAAAGGTTTACAGCCTTGGGAATGCTATGGGGCAGTTCTACTCTGTCCTATAGGATTGCTATGAGTCAGAATCGACTGGAAGGCAGTGGGTTTGGTTTAGTTTGGTTTGGTTTGATGAGGAGCCCTGGTGGCATAATGGTTAAACCCTTGGCTGGGAAAAGTGAAAGGTTAAGCGGTACCTGCCAGCAGGTCCACGGGAGAAAAGAATTGGCGATCTGCTCCCATAAAGTTTATAGCCTAGGAAACCCTATGGGGCAGTTCTACTCTGTCATATAGGGTCACTGTGAGTGGGAATCCACTCAATGGCACCTAACAACAATATAACTCTATGGTTAACATTTTGAGGCGTTGACAAATTGTTTTCCACGGTGGTTGCACCATTTTACATTCCTACCAGCAGTGTATGAGGGCTCCAATTTCCTTACAAGTACTTACTGTTTTATTTCTGGAATCATCTTGACCTCACCAACACTGCCTCAGTCGCATTAGTATTGCAGCAGGTCTGTAAAGTGTCTGTTCAAGTTAAAACATATATTTTGTGATAAAACCAAAACACCCATTGTCGTCGATTCCAACACATAGTGACCTTATAGGATAGAGTAGAACTGCCCCATAGGGTCTCCAAGGTTATAAATCTTTACAGAAGCAAACTACCACATCTTTCTCCTGCAGAGTGGCTGGTAGGTTTGAACAGCAAACTTTTGGTTAGCAGCCGAGGACTCAACCACTGTGCCACCAGAGCTCCTAGTATTTTCTGATATAGATATATGGAGATATCTTGCCCCAAGGTACTGTTACTAATTTTTCCAGGCAGAGAATACACAGTATTCTCTGTTGGCTGGGATGGGAGGCAAGGGTGGGGGACACCACTTTGGGTGTCCCAGTTGCCTAGAGTAGGCATAAGAGTACCATTCTGAATAGCTTTCACAAGCATTATTTTATTTTATTCTCTCATTTTAGGGTGAAGAAATCTGAAATCCAAGAAAGGTTTTCACTTCGGTTCACACTTTAGGCAGGCAAACCCCGATATTACCCTCTGGGCACTCCTGCGCGCGCAATCCCAGCCCCCTCTCCCCCGCCCCACCCCGTCCTGGACCTGGCTCCGCCACACACTCCTCCCTCCTCCTGCCTCTCAGGCTCCGAGGGGCGGGATATGGGTTAAAGAGGGTACGTGACCAATCCTTGCGCGTCTCCGCGAAACGGCGCTTCTCACTGGCAGATTCAGTCTGATGATGTAATCCATGTTCCAATCACGCTGGGGGCGGGGCTGAAGTCCGGCAGCACAGCGCAGGAGACCGCCCCTGTAAGCACGTGATCTGGCACTCTGGTAGGAAGCTGCCTATCTATTAGGGAGTGCCCCCAGCACCTAAAGTCTACGATGGTGAGTGAGAACGCATGCGCGGGAGTACGTGCCGGGGGTTCTGCGTTCCTGTTCCCCAACCTTTTTGGTTGCCCTTTTCTGGGCCTGCATTCTACGTTCACCCTAAGCCACCCTGGGACCGAGAGGGAATGGAGATGGGACGGGGTGGCGACATGGAGAGCTGAAGAGGGAGGGCGTATAGAGCTGGGGAGTAGTTTTCGAGGAAGGGGCGGGGCACGAGGGGAGTTGAAGGGAGGATCTGATGTGAGGGGCCAGTGGGGCTGCGAAGGCATCCTGGGGTATCAAAGATGGGGTGTGGGAGGCCGAGGGAGCCTACGGGCAAAGGGGTAGAGGGTCCAGATGGAGGCTCAGAAGGCAAGGAAAGCTCGGTGTTAGAGGGAAGAGCGTCTGGAAGGACCCTGGTTGGGGAAAGAGAAGGCCGGGGGGGGGGGGGCATCATCAGGAGAGGAATTTGGGTTTGAAGGTATTCAGGGCCACCTTCCTGGCATGCTTCTCACTGATTGCTCCTTTATGCACTAGACTTCTGCACTGACCCAGGGGCTGGAGCGAATCCCAGACCAGCTCGGCTACTTGGTGCTGAGTGAAGGCGCAGTGCTGGCGGTGCGTTCTGGGGAAAGGGAGGGAATCCCCTAAGAACACTTGGCCCATAATCTCTTCCAGTATTGCACATTTTACCCTAATTTGTCTCTATGTCATTACCTGGTAGCATGCCTGGCATATAGTAAGCTTTCAGTAATCAATTAAAGTCTCCAACTTTTCTAAGAGGCTTACTAACTCTACTAAAGTCACAAGTTTGTTGGTAACTGATATTACCTGAGTTCGTCTCAAGTATATATACGGTATTTATTGACGAGGCTTTGTATTTTGTTCCATAGTACAGAACAGTGTTAGTTCTCTAGAAGTTTTCAATCTAGTTAGACAAGGCTTAAAAGGTTAAAAGTTGAAAGCAACATGAGTGGTGAAGACTACTGAAGGAATCAACCCTTCATGTTACGTTATGTAATAACTTGTGTTACGGCAAGGAAACTTTCTCAGAGGTAGAAATTCAGCTGGGCGTTAAAGGATGGGTGGTGGTGAACAGGAAGAAAAGGAGTTCTTTGAGGCTGGGAAGTGGACATATTTGCAGGAGTGTGACACCAACGTGTCTAAAATGGTGGGTGTCACATTGAGAAGCTTTGGGAAGGTTTAGGGGAAGAAGAGGATATTATCAGGAAAGGATCAGAGTGTGGAGGACTTTCAAAGCCAGGTTCACCCATCTGGACTTAATCTTGAAGGTAATAAGGAGGTATTGAAGGCTTTTGAACAGGAACATGACCTGATGAAATGGTTTAGCAAGATTGTTCTGTTAGCAATGTGAAGGTGGACTGGAAGGTGACGAATTTAGAAGACAGGGCAGTAAGCTAGGTATGAGACTGGGCTGGTGGCAACCAGAAGGAGCGTGAGAATAGATTTAAAGGAGGAATGACTGGATATAAGTGATGGAGGAGATACTTCTCCAGCCAGTAAGATTTTGAATTCAGAAGCCTAGAAGAATGATGGTGCCTTAACAAACAGGAAATCAAAAATGGAAGTTGGTTGGGGAGCATGGGAGGTAGAGGGAATTCCAATGGTTTGACTTTCAACACTGGGTTTGATGTGGAATAAAAGCAGTTAATATAAATGGTAGGAGCTGTTCTAAGCATCTTGCCAATATTATTTAATCTTCACAATAAGTTTGTAAGGTACTGTATTGTTCCCAATTTACAGATGAGAAAACTGTGGTACAGAATGTCCAAGGGAAAAAAGTTCACTAAACTTAACTAGTGGGAGGCCCATATCAAGGATGTGGGAAGAAGAAGTTGAGATAGTCACCAGCAAAGAGGAAGCCCAGGCCACTGTCACAGCACTGATCCAAGCAGCTGGGTAGTAGGGAGGGGCTCAAGACAAAGGGGATGGTTGTGTTCCAGATTCTGCAAACAGGGCAGTAAATGGGAAGACTGAGAAAAAGATGGAGACTTTAACAATTCAGTGGTCATTTTCAAGGGTGGGAATTGGTTTTTGAGAATGTGTTTTTATCAGATAGCTGGGGGCAGGGAACAAAGTTAAGTTTCAAGGCGTTAGGAAACAATGGTCAGTAAAGAACTGCATGAGAGTCATCAGGGGAAGCCCAGTAGTACAAGGAGAAATAGGATGACACAAAGAGGAAGCTATAATGCCAAAGGAAGGTTTTAGGTTTGTCTTTCCCGAACTGGGGTAACCTGGGAATTTTGGAAAGTAAAGAGGGAGAAGTTACAAATAACTAGAGACAAAGTGACTGGCCTAGAATTCCTTCCCGATTCTCTTCCCTAATTTCTGCCCTCTTCCCTCCCATCTGCATGCAGTCGTCTGGGGATCTAGAGAACGATGAGCAGGCAGCCAGTGCTATCTCTGAGCTGGTCAGCACCGCTTGTGGTTTCCGGCTGCACCACGGCATAAACGTCCCCTTCAAACGCCTGTCAGGTGAGCCCCAGCCCCTGCCCCTGGTGGTGGTGGTGGGGAAGGGGGCTTCTCCCAAAGGCTTCTGCTTCTCAGGGAAAACAGGCTATCTCCTACCAACTCTTCCACCATCTCCTGGGGTCCCAGGTTCTGGCCCCATTCATCCCTTTGGGGACCCCTCCCACAGATCAAAGGAAACCCTGGTGGCATAGTGGTTAAGAGCTATGGCTGCTAACCAAAAGGTTGGCAGTTTGAATCCACCAGGCGCTCCCTGGAAACTGTATGGGGCAGTTCTACTCTGTCCTATAGGGTCACTGAGTCAGAATCTACTCAACAGCAGGTTTTCCCCTGGATCAGTGTTGAGAATGAGAAAGAAGAGGATTTAATGGAGGCCTCTCCTCTTCTGAGCCTGGAACTGTAGAATTTCTTTGGCTTTTGATATCAGCCAATTTGTGTGACCCCATGGAGGCCATCGCATCCCGCTAACTCTGTGCTCCCTTCCCTCTCCTGGGGCATCTCTCCTCCAGTGGTCTTTGGCGAACACACGCTGCTGGTGACCGTGTCAGGACAGAGGGTGTTTGTAGTAAAGAGGCAGAACCGAGTCCGGGAGCCCATTGACATCTGAGCCTGCGAGAGGGGTCGAAGGTGGATTGGGTCCACGAGCCGCTTGTGATGAGGAAGGCACAGCGTCCTCTGCCTCTTTCTTGGCTTGCAGCTAGAAGTAAGGCCTTCTACTCATCCACTTCCTCACCCTACCTGGAAGGGCAAAGGCTTGGGGACTTTGCACAATGTTAAGGAGAGGGAGAGCGAAGGGACTGCCCTCTTCCCTCGCTTCTTCCCTTCCTCCCTCCTAATAAACATAAATCTGATGTTCCCAGGCCTAGGGGTATTTGTGTGTGTGTGTGTGTGTGTGTGTGTGTGTGTGTGTGTCAGGGGTGGAGGTAGTTCATACCTCACGTCTGTCACCTTCTGGGGAGAAAGTCATGTACCCAGAGGAGTAGGGCACGGCCACCTCTGGATATTATATAATGGGAATTGGATAGGAAGGGAGCTGGGGGGAGCTACTTGGTCTGTATGCTGAAGGGAATTATTCTCAGCCTCTGCCCACTGTGTCGTCTGCTCCCTCCACCAACACACAAACAGCAGTCTTTCTTCTTCCTCCTGGGCACACATTTAATAGTCTTATTTCAGTTGGAAGCAGTAGATGGAAAATAATTTACAGGACAGACTAAAAAAAAAAACCACACCCACACCCACAACCACACACACACACACACAACTTAAAGTGCTTCAGGCTGCAAACGTAAACATGAGGGGTGGAAAGAGGTCACCTAGTTATCTCCTCGACCCCCAAAACAGGAGGGTTGTTGTCGGGGCCCCTTTACCATCACCACCCTCTAAGCTCAGCCCTGCAGCTGGGTGGGAGGGAACGTCAGAGGTGGGAAAGACAACTTAAGAGCAGTGAGGAAAACACTTCGTAAACGTTGAAAGGGCGCAGGGCCAGGGAGCTCTTGGAGTATCTGTCCTGGCCTAGGGGTGGGGCCAGCCCCCCCACAGGAACTGGGGGAAATACTGTTGACTTGTGCCACAGCCATACCCGCCCTTTTCACAGCTTCTTCCCTGGTCCCTCATCAGCAGACATAAGACAGGTGGCTCCCACGGTAGGAGGCAACCCAAGGGAGGCAGCAGCCTGGGAGGGAGGACCCCCTCCGGAGTTTCTGATTTCTGGGAGTGCAAGAGGGAGGTGAGCCGGCTTGGTGCTACTTGACGGGCTCCACCACCAGCACCTTGCACTCGCGCTTGGCAATCTTGTCCAGAGAGAGCACAGCCTTGTCCGGGGGCAGGTAGAGGGGACGGCCGACAGGGGAGGCCACAGGGGGCGTGATGGCCCTGCGCTCCATCACACTGCCCGACCTGGGAGAGGGCAGAGGGTGTGGGCTCCAGTCAGACACCAGGCACCCCTCCCTGCTCCCTCTCTGGTTCCAGCCTCTACCAAGCCTGAGTGCCACCCCACCTCCCGGTTCCATACCTCATGAGGTGGCTGCGGGAGGGCTGTTGGTGGGAGAAGGATTGAGAGCGGCCCAGGCTCGCCTGGTGCCTCTCCACCAAGTCCCGGACGGCGGGGCTGCTGGGGCTGCTCTTGCGGGAGAGGGGCCGGGCCTCGGGCGGAGGGTGGGACACGCTGGCGGTGAACTGCAACTTCAGTTTCATGTGCTGGCTCAGCTGGGGGCGGCGGACACAGATGAGCTTGCCGGCACGGCTCCCAGGGCCCAGACCCCTCTTCCGGTCACCTTACCCACTCCATGGGCGTCCATCAGCTCGAAAGTCCACTTCCCTCTGCCCAGCTTTGTCATGCCACCCATTATATTTCAATCACAGAAGCTAACTGGTTGTCTAATTCCTCACGCCCCACCATTCCGCATCATCCACCACACAGCCCCACCCTCCCCGGCCCACCTCAAAGAGCCCTGTCCTGAGAGCCTGGAAGGCCACACTGAAGGTGAGTGCGCTGCCCTTCCGGGAAAAGCCGAGGTTGTTGAGAGGCGTGTGGCAGATGATGGAGTCCAGGGCTGCCTGCATAGCCCGGCGTTCCTCCTCACACAGCTGCTTTCCTGGGGGGAGAAAGGGACAGGAACGGGCGGCGGTAAACACATCTGTACAGTGGTCCTCAGTTCACAAAGTCTCATTTGATCCTCCAAACCACTCTGTAGTAAATGGAATAAATGTTCATCTTTTGTTGCATTTTATAGATAACAGTAGTGGGCTGGTATGCTGAAATCTGTTCTCATCACTTGTATCAATTCAGTTAATCTACATGACAACCCCGTTTTAGAGATGAAGAATCTGAGGCTCAGAGAGATTAAGTAATTTACTCACGGTCACACAGCTAGTAAAAGGGAGAAATAGAAATCAAACATGCCAGAAAGCCCAGCTCCAGTGTCTATGCCCTTAAAATCACTCAGCACCACTGCCTCTCTGAACTCCACATGTGGTACTGTGGAGACCATCCAGGTGCAGCTGAAGTGGCAAGCCTCAAGTCACCCACTTGTGGGGCTGGCACCAGGTTTTGAGCTGTTTTCACTGTGCTACTTCCATGACTTCTTCCTTTCCCTCCCTGCCCTTGGGACAAGGTCCCAGCCTGGCAGCTGACCCACCAGCCTGTGCGTGCTCCGGTGTCCACACGAGCCTCACAGCGAGGAAGTCTTGGAGATTGTTGAGCAGCGTGTAGGTGACAGTGAAACGCTCGTAGGTCCGAACAGGAGACTCACAAGAAGCAGTCATCACAAAGCACGGGCGGTCCAGGCGGATGCTGGGCAGCCTGGAAGCAGTGAAAGAGAAGAGAGCATAGGGTGTGTGTCAAGTAACAAAGGTGAACAGGACAGTACCTGGCAGGGGATCCCACATACTCACCCGTAGTGGGTATAGATGCTCTGGGTGAAGGGCAGCTTTGGAGTGGACCACTGAACCACAGCAATCAGGGGAACTTCAAGGCCCTGTGGGAAGGACAAAGGGCAACACCACATGTATTAGAGTCCCCCTCCCATCTTTAGTCCTCAAACCCTTAGTCTTTCCCGCTCACTGCTTTTTCTTATCATTTTTCCTTGAACACACCAGCCCCTATCCTCACCTCCTTGGCTCCTGGAGGGGGCTGCTCACCCCCTCTCAGCTGAAACAGGAAGTTGTGTTCCTCCAGGGCACTAAGCAGGCAGGGAAAGCAGCCAGAGGCACCAGGGAGTCGGCAGAAGGAGCCCATGGAGACCTCCCCAGACTGGTGACTAGTTCAGAGGAGGGGAACAGAGCATGATCTCTCCATGCCAGAGCTCTCAGTCCCCTATTCCCAGCCCCACGACTCCACGGCATAGCTTGTCCCCAGGACCTCACCAGACATTGTCCACCAGCAGCACAGAGCCATCGGGCATAACAGGTAGATAACTGGCATTGAAGTTGGGGAGAATTCGGATGTCCCAGATGGAGATTTCCTCCTGGGAGGAGCTGTTCAGCACTGTGAGAGGTAGCCAGCTGAGCCAAGAGTATCTGGACTCTTCAATCCCCAACTTCACCCCAAAACACAGACCTACCCCACCAACCTGCCCAAAGTAACTGCCACCCAATCAACACCTTGCTGCTACTGAAGAATCGAGCCAGCCAATCTGCTCACCCTTGAGCACAGTCAGGTGTTTTCCAGCCACAGTGAATTGACGGCATTTCAGAACCGGAGGGGGCAGCAGAGTCAGCAGGGTGCTCACTGCCAGAGAGGGTGAAGGGAAGAAATGATGGTCTGGGCACACCCCTCGACTCCAACCCACAGTTCTAATCTTCCTCTTCTCCCCAGACCAGATACTCTCCTGTAGCACCCCTCCATTCTGTCCCCCAGATTCCAGACTCTAGCCTCTCCCCGCTCTGTATTCTCCTCCCCACCTTGGGCCTTGAAAGCGCTCTGCTCGCCCCGGAAGGTCTCCCCAGGAGATCGGGTCTGCAGCAAGCGCAGGTAGCCTTGATCTCTGACCTCTGGTGCCTCAACCTCCCGCTTCCACACGGTCACTACAATCTGAACACAGGGGACACAGGTCCACAGTCAACAGGAGAGAGAGCCAGCAGGGCCTTAGAAAGGTGTCCGAGTTAGGACAAAATCTCCACCCCTTGCCAATCCTACCTTAGCCTTAGGTGTCCCTGGGGGCAGTCTATCCAGTGAAACGGTGAGTGGGAAGATGACCTCATCTGTGGACACAATTGGTTCCTCCACAGGCAGCTGGGGTTGCGAAAGAGGGGTTCACAGGTCAGGAAAGGTTCAAAGAGGCAGCCTACCTCAGTTCCCTTTAAGATCTGCAGTACATGGTTCTTGCCCTTCCCCTCCTCATTCATCCTCTGCCTCCGGCCTCGGGCTCCCAGCTTCGAGCCTAGGCCCCCAGCGTCCATCTCCCCTCAAGTCTCTGGAGCCCAGCACCCTATCCCGCCACCCTGTGCCGTCACCCTAAGTTCCTCACCGTGGTCGCTCCCCCTGAGGTAGCAGGGCCCGGGCCGTGGGTGAGAAGGGGGCTGCAGCCTCGGAACAAGACCCCACCCCCAGGGTCCCCTCCCCCTGGGGGTTCAGGATCCTGGTCGCTGGTGCCACTGCCCCCGGGGGCTCCGCCTCCGGCGCTGACCGAGGCCAGGGCAGCCAGGGTGGTTGCCAGTTCCGCCCAGGCCCCACGGGAGCCCAAGCCCGGGCCGCCCCCGGCACCGGACGCCGCGCCGCCCCGGCAGCGCAGCACCAGCAGGAAGCGGACAGTCTCCCCCAGGTATAGATGGTTTCGCCGGGGCAGCGCCCGGTACCGGCCCGGGTCCCCTGCCAGCTCCGCGCGCGGGGGCAGCGGCACAGCCGGAAAGTACATCGAGTAGTCGCACTGGGACTCCATGGGATGGCGAGGGCTGGGGCCCGGGCGGGGGGCGAGGTGGGCAGGAACCGGAGACCAGCCCCGGCGGGCCCGCGGAGGACAAGGGGGACCCCCTGGGCTAGATCCGAGGAGTCTGGCACCCGAAGGGTGCTGCGCGCGGCCGGCGCGGCCCGAGAAACCAGCTCGGTCGGGAACCGGGGCAACGAACCCGGAACCCAGAGCCGGCGGAGCCGTAACCCGGGCGCTGGACGAATGACTGGCGAGAGACCGGAAGCGGAAAGGAAGGGGTGTGGCCTCTGAGGCCCCGGAATCTGTAGGTGACTGGACCGTGGAGGAGAGGGGAGGAGTTCGGCTGCAACCAGGCAGTTGCAAGAATTTAGGAGAGCGCTCTGTGCTCGATCCCGTTCGTGCGACCGACAGCAGCATCCCTGAGACAGGATGGTGAAGGCTAGAGTAAACGGATTTGCCCGTATTGGGCGTCTGATCGCCAGGACTACTTTTAACCCCGGCAAAGTGGAGGTTATTGCCATCAATGACCCCTTCATTGATCTCAACGACGTGGTCTACGTGTTCCAGTATGAGTCCACCCGTGGCGAGTTCATTGGTACCCTCAAAGCTGAGAACGGGAAGCTTGCCATCAATGGGAAGCTCTTCTCTATCTTACAGGAATAAGATCCCGCCAACATCAAAAGTGGGGTGATAACTAGTGCTGAATATGTTGTAGAGTCCACCGGTGTCTTCACAACCTTGGAGAAGACTGGGGCTCACTTGAAGGGTAGCACCAAAAGGGTAATCATTTCTGCCCCTTCTGCCGATGCCCCCATGTTTGTGATGGGCGTGAGCCACGAGAAGTATGACAAATCCCTCAAGATTGTCAGCAATGCTTCGTGTACCACCAACTGCTTGCTCCAACCCCCCCGAGCCAAGGTCATCCATGACAACTTTGGCATCATGGAGGGACTCATGACCACAGTCCATACCATCACTGCCACCTAGAAGACTGTGGATGGCCCCTCTGGGAAACTGTGGCAAGATGGCTGAGGGGCTGCCCAGAACATCATCCCTGCATCTACTGGTGTTGCCACGGCTGTGGCAAGGTCATCCCTGAGCTGAATGGGAAGCTCACTGTCATGGCCTTCCGTGTTCCCACCCCCAAAGTGTCGGTTGTAGATCTGACCTACCATCTGGAGAAAGCTGCCAAATATGATGATATCAAGAAAGTGGTGAAGCAGGCATCAGAGGGTCCCCTAAAGGGCATCCTGGGCTACATTGAAGACCAAGTTGTCTCCTGACTTGAACAGTGACACCCACTCTTCCACCTTTGATGCTGGGGCTGGCATTGCCCTCAGTGACCACTTCGTCAAGCTCATTTCCTGCTATGACAATGAATTTGGCTATAGCAACAGGGTGGTGGACCTTATAATCCACGTGGCCTCCAAGGAATAAGAGCCCCCTGAACCACCAGCCCCAGCAATACCACTAAAGGGAGAGGCCCTCATCTGCTGGGGAGTCCTTGTCCCAACTGGATCCCCCAACACACTGAGAATCTCCCATCCTTGACACAGTTTCTGTCCCAGACCCCCTGAAAAAAGGGAAGGGCTTAGAGAGCCCAACCTTGTCATGCACCATCAATAAAGTACAGTGTACCCAGCCAGAAAAAAAAATTTAGGAAAAACAACAAAAAAGGTGGCTCCGTATTAAAAGAACCCCCTCCAGCCCCAGTTCTCTCAGGAAGATGCCCCAGCCCGCCATTTCTGCCCTACATAAATCAAGTAGAAGTAATTATTTATTCATTAAACAAACATTTCATAGTGAAATGACCATAGCCCAATAACAAATATTTCATAGAGAAATGAACGTATTATTCCAACCCACCGTGCCCCAAACTTTCTCTGGCTCATTCCATCTGTCACCACTCTAGGGGACTTTTAAAAGTGCTACACAGACCTGCCATGGGGCTGGAAAGGGGAAGGGGCAAGATGGTTGGGGAAGAGGGGGAGCTGCTGGGATCTGAAGGACTGGGATTCCAAAGCAAAAGCCAGAAGACAGGGCCTGCATTAGGACAGAGTTCCTTTCGTCCTCTAGGGGGCAGACATCCCTTCTGAAGGCAGCAGAAATCACATCTGACTGCCCTGAACTCATCACACCCGCCCTACTCCTAGCTTAGCTCCTCTTCTCTTAGTTTAGCTGCTCTTTAGCCTGCCTCTGCAGTCTGATGCCTATGGGGAGAGTAGCCTGGAAGGCTTGAGGGGCAGCGAGACTGGTGGGGGGAACTGTTTGGCATCCAGCTTGTCCTTGTACTGTAGCTCAGGGGTAACCAGGCGTTCACACTCCTCCTGGTCTTCGGGGCTCAGTCCACTCCGAAGTATATAGCCCAAAACCTTAGCTGACCCAAACTGGAAGGGGCGGAACCTCTGGTCAGTGATGTACTTGGGGTCAAGAGCCTCACCTCCCACCAGACAAAGTTTAGCCAGGGCCTCTCGCCGAGCCCGGAGCTCCGCCACAGCACTCTCCAGCCGGCTCTGGCCGTATTTCTCTATCCGTGTCCACAGACTTCGGTTGAAATGAACATAGAGGGCCCAGTCCAGGTTGTTCCAGGTGCGGGCTTGTGCAGCCAGCTGCTGCTCCTCATCAGTCCATCTTCCTTCCCTGGCAGCACTGAGACCCTGCTCACCTCCAGCCTGGGCATTGTGCATAAAGCCTACCACATCATCAAGACCCCAGCACAGGGCATCTGCCAGAAGGACCAATGACTCATCAAAGTACTCAGCCACCAAAACCAGGTCAAAGACAGAGTCTAGCCAGGCCAGACCCCACTGGATGAAGGACGAAGACTCCAAATCTGAAGAGGTAGGGCTGGACATCTGGTGGCGACCATTGGCAACAGTGGGAGCAGGATGGAAGAGTGCATTGGGATCCAGGGTTTGGGCTCGAGGGCCAGCACCAGAAGGTACGACATGCAGCTGTGGAGGGTTGGGGTCTCTGAGGGGATGAAGATTCCCTCTCTTGGTCCTCATATCTGGGGGAAAGGGGAGGCCAAAGTCAAACCACAGCAAGTTGCGGGCATAGTGGTCCCCACGAGCCCCAGGCCAGTAGAAGGCTCGAGGATTGGCCAAAAAGGCAGCCAAAGAGGGGGCCTTGCGGAAAGCGGATGAGGTGGATTTGTAGTAGGAGAAGGCAGAGTGGGCCAGAGCTGCTGGGTCTCGGACAATGGAAAAGAAGAAGCTGTCAGAAGGCATGACCTGAAGTACCTGCAGAGGAGGGAAAGCAGACAAAGGGAGAAAGAACTGGGTCAGGAAGAAACTAAGCACAAGCCAAGTGCCCACTGATCCCCCGGCCTTCTCAAACCTCCTTCTGACAGTTCTGCTGGGATCCCCTCCCCCCCAGCTGTCTCTTACTAGCTGCATGATCTTGGACAAGTTACTTAACATCTCTGAGGCACCATTTGCTTATCTGCAAAATGGGGATAAACATACCTTCCTTCCCAGGTGGTTGTGAAGGTTACGTGAGATAAAGGATGTGAAGGAGCTTGGAGTATAATTTTCTTTAGAACATTAATTTCCTTGGGCCTTTATGTGTGCCTTGGACGGTAAAACCTCTAGGAACCAAACTTTGTGTTCAGTTTTCCAACAGATACTTGCATCAGGACAGAGTTCCTGCTTTGGAACTCTTGGTCACATAAAGGAACTGGCCTCAGGCCTCTCCAAGGGGTCACTGGCAGCAAAGAGAGAGGAGAAGGGGGTAACAATAATTCTGCCTTGGGTACAGGCCTCAGGTGGGCAGGCCAGGTGCAGGATGGCTGAAGGATAGGGCACTATTGAGGATCCTGGGGATCTTGGAGAGCTAAAGACACTGCTCGTTGTGGTCCGAGTCCATCCAGAGGTACCTTGGAAGAAAGACCTAGCGATCTACTTACGAAATCTACTTCCAAAAAAATTAGCCATTGAAAACCCTGTGGAGCACAGTTCTACTCTGACACCCATGGGGTTGCCATGAGTTGGAGTTGACTCGATGGCAACTGGGACAACTGAAGAGATAATGGAACCATAAGATAAATCCTTGAATCATTATTGGACGCAAATGCTCCACAAGAGCAGCCTGAATTCCACTGGACAGTGGTATGAACTAGAAAACCTACCTCTCCAGAAAGGCACACCTCTTTTACTGAATGCTCTCTCCCCAACTCCAAATGCAGACACACGTATACACACACACACACACACACACACACACCTGCCCGGTACTGTGATGATATAATGGAAAGAGCTTTGACTTTGGACTAGATGGACCTGGATTCAAATTCTAGCTCTGCCACTTTCTGTTAACTGAGGCAAGTCACTTAACTTCTCTAACACTCAATCTCCTCATCTGTATAATGGAGACACTTAAAATGCCTCCTTGTTAAGTGATGGTAAGATTAGTACCCAGTACTCAGTAAGTATTCAATAAAGGTTAGTTCCTTCCCCGGGAGTTTTCATTTGCAGGTTGATTTTCTTCTCTACCAGAGCTCTCAGCTTCCTGTGTATGTATGTATATGAATGCATACATTCATTTCTCCCATTAGAATGGAGGTTCTTTGAGTGGGGGGGCGGTCAGAGGAGCTCTGGTGATGCAGTGGTTAAAGCACTGGGCTGCTAACCAAAAGGTCAGCAGTTCGAACCCACCAGCTGCTCTGCAGGAGAAAGATGTGGCAGTCTGCTTCCATACAGATCTACAGCCTTGGAAACCCTATGCGGCAGCTCTACTCTGTCCTGTAGAGTTGCTATGAGCCAGAATCAACTCGATGGCAATGGGTTCGTTTTTTTTTTTTTTTTTTTTTTTTTGGCAAGGGCGGGGGTAGTCAGGACTGGGCTTCTGCCCAACTATTTTGCTAGTCCCACCCTAGAGCTTGGCATATAGCGAATCTTCAAAATATGGCAGACATGTGAGGGCAGTGGGAGGAAGACAGGCTGGAAGTCAGTGGCTGAGCAGGGGTCCTGGAGATGACAGTGGAAGGGACCAGGAAAGGCAAGGGGCACCTGGATGGAGAACTTAGGGGACCAGGGTTGGCAGGGGAATCCATTAGTCATGGAAAGGGCTGGAGTGAGCTCCAGATGGTAGTCAGCAGGACCTTGGCTCCCAGAAGCTACTGGGGAGGGGATGCTTGAGGAGAGGGAGCAGGAAATCCCACCTTTGTGGCCTCCATGCCCAACTCTGTAGTGAGGTGATGCCAGGGCAGCCCCCAGGCCTCTGGCCCCTTCCCCAGTGGTCTTGACCACAGGCCTGAGCTCATCTCTTTCCAGTCCCACCTATCCCCCCTACGCCCCTCACCTCTTTCAGGTTGAACCTCATGTGGTGACAGAGGATGTGGAAGTGGGGCTGGGCGCGTCCGTCCTGGGGGTGGTAGTTTTTGACGCGAGAGGCCTGGAAAAGCCTCGGGTAGCCAAACTGGTAGCGGGTGGGGAGAGCAAAGCGCAGCCCATGCCGGTCCCCGTAGCGATGAAGCAGGTTCAGCACAGAGCTGCTCCCAGACTTATGCGTCTTTAGGAACACGAGCCGCTGCCGGGGTGTGCAAGATGGAACGCTTGGACCCCGGGATGGGGCCCAGGGTTGTCGAAGTTGGAGCCCAACTCCAGGTAGCCTGTAGAGAGATGGGAGGGGAAGTGTCCTGTCCCTCACCAGCAGGTGGGTGGGCTCCTTGTGGAGAAAGGACAGCTGGTCTGCTGCCTTCTCTGCCTTGGCCCTCTAAGTTCCATAGAGCCCCCCGAGTCCCAGCCTCAGGTGGGACGTGGGCCATCCACTCTAAGCTGGACAAGGTGGAGACTCACCTCCTTTGGAAGGGCCCCCCCCAGAGCTGGAGGGCGAATCCGATGGTCATGAAGACTCCCAGAGCCACGCCGAGGCTCCGAGGCCCCCAGAGCCAGAGCCGCATAGTCCTGGCAGGAGACACGGGGCCCATGTGATGCTACAAAGGAACCGGGCAAGGGCGAGGAACCGAGGCAGAGACAGCCTGGGGTAGCCACGTAGCCCTGAAGGCGCTTTTTGGAGATCGGGGTCATTCCCCAGGCCTGCTCACAGCCCTGGTAGAGTCTGCCCCCTGAGTTAGCAGATTTTTGCCTCTGTCAGCGTCTAGAAGGGAAATGAGGGGGAAGGAGAGGAGTCCAATGAGAGGGGTAGAGCCCTCTCTTTCCCGATGCAGCTTAAGCTGAATTCAGGGAGGGGGAGCAGGGGAGCTTTCTCTAGGTGGGCCCACAACCTACCATCTCTGCTGTCAGCCTCTCTGTCTCAAATTTCCTCAGTCTCCCACCTACAGTTCCTCCCTGAGCCCCAGAGATTTAGATGGGAAGGGGAGAAAGACAGAGCCCCAATCATTAACGAAACCGCCAGTGAGAGAGATCAGAGCACAGCAGATCACTAGGACAGTAAGGCAGGCAGCGGGTGGCACATTGCCGGCCCCCGGCTTCCTCCTGAGCCCCTCGATCTGTGACAAAAGGGGATGAAGAGCCCCATTTAGAGGCTGGGAGGGGAAGCCACACGGAGAGAATGAGGATCAGACAGTACCCAGGTAGGAGGGAGGGAAATTAGGCGACAGGGGAGACTTTCTAATGAGAAGGAAGAGTCCGCCATCTCGTTGCAAGTTCGGCATCTCTCCTCGCTTCAAAAGCTCCCAGCACAAGAAGATCTCGGTGTGTGAGAGAGGCTGGGGGAGATGTGGGGTTACTTAGGAAGCTCAGATCCCTGGACACCCCATCCTATGCCGCTATCCAGCCCCATCAGTGCAACCAGAAGAGATAGAGCGGGTGAGGCTGAAGAGAAAGAAAGACAGAGACTTACTGTGAGACACCAAGATACTGACAGAGAAAAGATGGAAAACAAGCTTCGGAGTTCCTTCCCAGGCCTGAGTTTCCCGATCGGCGGGGAGTCTAGCCCTGCGCCTTCAGATTACAAACTACAATTACAGGCCCAGCCCCTCCAACAAGACTGGACAGCCTCCTTCCCGGCTGAGCCAGAAGTGACTCCAAAGAGAGCCCCACTTGCTACCCGACGACCCGCCCACTCGGACATCACCTCCCAATTCCCTCCCCCAACTACAGCCCTCTGGATCCAGCCCAGGGCCAGACCCAACTCCGATTCCTCCACTTCTTTCATCCAGCTCTATCTCCTCCCACTCCCCCACATCCCAGCCCTCGGTCCCCTCCAGCTCTGGTGACTGTTTAGCCTGTTGCCAGCCCTTTGTTGGCTCTCTTTGAACCCTCGAGTTTCCTCCCATAAATTCTAGGGTCTCTCCATCAGCCTTGGCTTCACTTGCCCACTCACCAGGCCGCATGGGGTGGAGCAGGGAAATTAGGTTCAGGCCTCCCGCCCACCCCAGCCACCGCCCGGCTCCTCGTTGCTTTGCTCAACTTTCCCAACAAACTTTCTCCGCGGCTCAGGCTCCTCCCCTCTCCCTCCCTTTGTTCCACCAGTCCCGGCAGCTGCTTCTGCTTTGATCATCTCTCCCCCACTCTCCCTCCTGCATCTTCTCCTCTCCTTCAGGGCACCCCAGTCTGCTCTTGAAAGACACCACTTTTACCCTCCTTTTGCACTTAGGAATCAATTATACCTTTGTCTCTCAGCTTACTACAGAACAAAAGACTCATTCAAGTGACAGAAAGAAAGGAGAAAGTGACTGACGAGATGAAAGCAGACATTGTCAGGAACATGCCAGGTAGCCAGAGACAGACACGAAGACAGCAAGGGCCCCTCCACTGAAGGCTGGAGACAGTGCTGTGGCAATATTCATAAAGCCTCCTGTTTAAGAATTTTGCATATAACAGGTACTTCCTCACACAGGTCCTATTTGGTCCTCACAATTCTCCCCATTTTACAGATGAAGACATTGAGGCCGGGAGAGTGGCAACTTGCTCAAACTCAATACCAGAGGACAGGTCCCAAGAGAGGTGAGAAGCAGAAATACACGGAGACACACGGTCACAAAGTCAGGGTTCAGGGAGGACTGCCGGGCTGAAGGCACAGAGAGTCACACGTGGGGTCCAATAAATTAACCATTTATTTGCAGAATAAACACTGAGTCAAACACTGAGACATGAGATGCGGAAGCTCGGGAAGGATGTAGATGGCAGAGGTCATGGGAGGACCTTTTTTTTATTTTTTATTTTAAGAAATTGATACTGAAAAAGTCAGCAGAAGCCAGGTCCATAGATCCTGACATCTTACACACACCCAGTCCCCTCCCCTGCACCCCATCAGCACCCAGCTCTTGTCCATTTCTGAGATCAGCTACCCCTACCCCCATTTGAGTTCCACCCCTCCCCAATTCCACCTCAGTCCTTCAAACCCCACCCCCATCTGCAACTCTAGAAATACTCCCTTGTTGGGGCCAACCACCATCCCCCAGGCTTAGTGGCATGGAGACCACACCTCCTCTCCTAAATAAATACCCCATTACCTGTTACCAAATGTAAAAAGAAATATTGTGAGCACCCACTGCCTGACCCACCAATGGGAATCTCCTGGATTTGGGGCCCCAGCCATTCACCAGCCATCTCCACCCTCTCTGCAGCCCCCTTTAACTGCTCCCTAGACCCAGAGGAGGGGGGAGGAGGGGAAGGGGCCACGAACCCTTCTGATGCTAGGGCACCCCTCTCCTGTTATCGAGGTCCAAGCAGGGCCAGGGCTGAGAGGAAGAGGATGAGGATAGGGTGGGTGTGAAAACCAACAGGCGTCCCCCCACCCCTGTTCCTGCTCTGGTTATGGCGAGAACCACCACCTCCTCCCTTGCCCCCAGGGCTGTCCCTTCGAGGAGGGCGAGGAGGCCGAGCTGGGGGGGCCACAGCTGCTGTCCCAGCCATCCAGTCATCGGCATAGTGCTGCCCCCCTCCAGAGCCGCTGGCATCCTCGTCTGCAGGAAGCGAAAGGGACAGAGACCGACAGGAGCAGGAAAGAAGTAGGGAGAGACAGAGGAAGACACACAAGCAGGGAAGAAGATAAAGACAGAAAGAGAGAAGCAGGGGAGAGGGAGACATATGTAAGTAGAGGAGGGTGAGGGGAGAGAAAGACAGAGACAGGGACGCAGGGAGGGGAGGACAGGAGGGCAGGTGGGGAGGAAGAGAGAGAAATCAGACATGGGAATGAGAGAAAGTGATGAGAGACGGGAACAGAGACAATGAAGCAGAGACAGAACCAGAGACAAACAGATGGGGAGAGAGGATAAACAGGAAAAGACAGAACACAGAGACAGAAGCAGAGAGCAGACGGGGGTGGGGGAAATGTAAGAAAAAAGAGAGTAAAAATATGAATATCTGTACCTTGCTTCTCTGTCTGGCAAACTCTACGTATACACACACTCACACACTGACTCACACAGCTTCCCCATCTCTGCCAGGTTGCCCTCCCTCCTCATTCCCCCACTGCCCTTTTTGCCCATTATAAGAAGCTTCTCACTATCCTGTAACAATGTTTTCGTGTCTTCCCCACTGGGTCGTGAACTCAAGGGTAGAGACCCTGTCATTGGTCACTTACTCTCCTACCCTTGAGGCGAACGCTCAATAAAGACTTGTTAAAAGCAACGTGTGACAGAGTGAATAAACGAATGCAATTTAAGAGAGTCTAGAGAAGCAAGCCCGGGAATCGCGAGCCAAGGGGAGGGACTAAAAAGGCAGTCGGCGGGGCTCGGGGTCCGGGGGTTGGCCCCGTCCAACCCGGCGGGGGACGCTGAGAGGCCCTCGGGGAGCCCCGGCGTCTCACCCGCGTCTTGCAGGTCCAGGTCGTGTCCGAGGGCGGCCGCCCTCATCCTGGCCGTGGCTGCCCGAAGCTGCAGCCGCCGCCTGCGTGTCGGGAGGTCGGGGCCCGAGACGTCCACCTCCAGCTCTGGGTTGTTGAGCTGCTCAGCCAGGGAGCCCCCGACGACGGGCGGCAGGTACCTGCGAGCAGAGTAGGCCCGAAGGCTCCCGCTCGGCCCGCCCTCCCCAGGGATCGGCCCTGCTGCCCGCCGCCCGCCCGGCTCTCACCGGCCTCGCCCCGCTCCCGTCCAGCAGGGCGCCGCCTCCTGCGAGATGTCGGCCGCCATGCGGGGGTCCCCGCACACCGTCAGGGGCAGCCCGGCCCAGAAGCCCCTCACACGGCCCAGCCGTTCGCGGAGCTCCCACACCTGGAGTGCGAGAGAGGGGCGGGGATGGGGGGGGGGCGGGAGATGAGCGCTCCGTCCCTGCGGACCGCGCTCCGCCCGCCGGCACTCACTCACCAGCCGGGGCAGGTTGGTGCCCGCTGCCGTAGTGGGTCGCTCCTCCTCGGCCGCCGACGCCCAGAGCCGGCCTGCCTCTTCCCGGGGAGCCGGGGCTCGGCGGGTGCGTGCCGGCGCCGGGTGGGGGCCCCCGCATCCCTGAAACACCTACGGCACCGGGAAGAAGGAGCGCAACTCGTGGCTGGTCTCTGCCCCATCTGCCTCTCTCACTTGGGCTGAACCCACACACAGTCTCCCCCTACCCTTGAGGTGAAACCCCCATACTATCTCCCCTAACACCCACAGTGTCCTCTGGAAGCTCAGTCTCCCAAGATATCCTACACTGTCTCCCTGACACCCCACACTGTCCCCCACTACCTCCCCAGGCTCTCCACCCTTCTCTCCCCTGTACCTGGGCTTATACCCCACACTGTCCCCACGCTTCCAGGCTCTTATCTCCACCCTCCTCTCCCAGTACCTGGGCTGATACCCTCTACTGCCATCCTCCCAAGGCTGACACCCCTACCCTTCGCTCCCATACCTGGGCTGACACCCCCACACTGTTCTCCTGCAGAAACATCAAACCCTCTGAGATCTTCACCCCTATGGACTCAGCGGCCAGCTCAAAGGAAAAGGGACCCTGGAGTCTCTCAGCCAGGAGCAGGAGAGCATCTTGAAGGACGGAAAAAGGGAAAGAGTGAAATGAGGGCACAGCCACAGATATACACTGTATTAGGCTTTTCCCACAAATCCTCACTCGAGCCTTAGAGGAAGCAGCAAGATATTGGGTGGAGGGTAACTCAGATGAGGAGAGTTCCCTTCCGATCCCCCCCCCCGAACAAATCTGGCTTTAGACTTCCTCCCACCCACCCCCTATGCAGACAGCCCCTGCCATACTCCC